CCCCCCATAAGCAAAACATCTCCGAGGACGCTCCGACGCGCGCGAAAAAACACCGCGCACATCGAGCAAGGGACCTGCGAGACGGAATGCGCTCGACCGCTCGCCCCTGGAGCCCGCGCGGAAGGACGGGGCAGCCTGGAACTCTTGAGAACTATAAATATCAATGCTTCATGCCCCCTTGATGATTTTTTTTACTCGGCGAGAGGGGGGCAGCTTGCAGCGCGCCCCTCTCGGGGCACGCCTCTCGCCAAAAAAAAAAGCGCGCCCGCGATCGAGCTCGAAGGCCTCGGCCTTGCCCTCCCTGCCCGCCTTGCCCGCCTGCGCCTTGCCCGTCTTCTCGGCGGCGCGACCGGCGACAAACTCGGCGCGCGCGGTCGAGATCGCGCGTTGGACGGGACATGCTTCTCGATGGCGCGCTGGGAGATGGCCCCGTCGGCGTCGCTGGTCTCTGTCTCCGCCCCCTGGTCGCACTTGGCGCGCGCGGCGCGGCGCGCGGCCCCCTGGAGCTCGCACTTGGCGTCGTTGAATGGATTCATGCGCCAGCGCCACTCGGTCGCGCCATCGGTGGCTCGAACGCGCCGGCCCGCGGAAGCGATGAAAGCATTTTCGTCGGCCCAGTCGGAATACTTCTGAAGCTCCACGGGCAAAACCGCAATTTGCCATGAAACGCCGACGGCGTCCTCGGCGCGCCTGGCGCCCGCCCGCGCACCCATCGCGAACTCGCAGCTCGCGAAGCGCTCGCCCGCTGGGTGCGCGAGCTCGCGGAGGGCCTGGAGGCCGAGGGGGGGCTCGCCATGCGCCTCCTCCACTCACTTCTCGCAAGAGCCGTTGCTCCGTTTCTCGACAGTCTCGTCACCGAGAAACGCGCCCCGGTCCTCGGCAGCCACGAGGTGCTGTCGGCGGAAACTCGGCAAGGGGATGAACAGCTCGTCGCAGTTCTGGTCGCGCTCCCCAAAGGCGTCGAAAATCCTCGTCGGTCTTCTCGCGCCGCGTCTTCCAGAGGACGGCGGCGAGGAGCTCGGGGCGGCGGGTGGCCTTCTCGTGGAAGATGCCCTCGTAGATGATGGACTCGAGCGCGCCCGTCTCGTCGATCTCCTCAAGCGCCGCGCCGACTGCGTTGCTCGACCACTTAGCGCTCGAGCCTCGGAGGTGCGCGCTCGTCGCCCTCGAAGCGTCGGCGGCCTCGCCGCTCGCTCGGCGCTGGCGCATCTCGGCGCGGGGGGGGCCCTCGCGCAGGTGCTCTCCCGCTTGCGCGGCAGCTCCGCGTCGCGCTTCAGCACCTCGGCGTAGAGCTCGGTAAACTCGGGAACCGGCTCGGCAGTGGCCGGCGACTCGGCCCCAGAAAGCGCCGCCGCCCTCGCGCGGGCCTGAGAATGTACCTTGCTCGTTGGCGGCGAAGTTTCCAACTCGGAAGGCGCCCCGAAGCGCCCAGCTCGGGGGGCCCGAGCCAAAGCGGCCGTGGGGAGAGGGGGGGGGGGGGGGGAAGGCGCATGGGGAAGGGGGGGGATGGGGGCCCCGCGGGGCACCCATGGGGCCACAAACTGCGTGAAGGGCGCGCTAAATGGGGGAGCCACGAGAGGCGCGAACGCACGCGAGCACCGCCACCTGGGCCTTGAAGCTAGATTCCCATAGCCCTGCCACACATTCGTGACCTGAGGAAGCTGAAATGGTTTATCCATGGTATGTACATGTGTACTCTAATTAAAGAACGCAGTTTCAGAATTCAAGCGATCAGCGAACATTTCTATGCTGGAAACGTTGGGCAAAACGCATGTGAACTTCAAAAGCAAGTCGGCCATCGCTAAGAGTTCACTTTAGTTTCCAGGCCAACATGATGAAACTTCCAATTTGAAAACGCTTGGAGAGAAAACGCAACAAGAAAAACAACATTATACCTTCAAAACCAGATCCGTCATCAATAAGAGTTCTTTGCAGTTTCCAGGCCAACATGGCAACTTGTCTAGTGTGGGCAACACAGAACTCGCCACACGCGCGCGCGGGGGTGACACGTATGAGCCGCGCGCGTCCGCCGGTCACAGTTAAGAGTGCACTTTAGTTCCCAAGCCAACATGGCAACCTGCGTATTGCAGGCAATACAGAACTCGCCACACGCGCGCGCGGGTGACACGTGTCACCCGCGCGCGTCTGTGTCACCCGCGCGCGTGAGTCGGTCAACTTTTTCCGAGCCAACATGGCGACTTCCGTCTTAGCTTATTGGATTACCGGCTTACTTACACCCCAACCAACACTCGGGAAGGGCTGAGAAAATGAGCACCCCATAGCCTTGTCACACGTGCGTGACTTGCGGAAACCTAAACGGTGAGAGTCTCATAACCCTGCCAGCGCGCGTGCCTTGGGAAAGCTGGAGTGATGAGACCCCCGATGCCATGCCGCACGTGTTTTGATGATGTTGTTAGTCAACCTACGAAGGTAGCACCTTCAGTTCGCAACTTTCCCCTGCGATAATAAAGTTCGGCCTTGCCGCCCCTCCCCCCCGACCAAATCTGCGTTGGCCGTTTTAAACTGTCAGGGGTTAAAGGGGGGGTCTGATTTCTTATCCAGGGGTGGCGGTTACTCATGGTCCTGCAAGGTCCAAGATGGCCTCAAAGACGACCCAGTAATCCCCCAAGCTGGCCCAAGAGTCGGCGGCGAGCGAGGGGAAAGTGAGAAGGAGGAGACCTTCTCAGAAGGTTCGGAAGCCCCCTGGCCTTCTGGGAAGTCTTCTAAGCCTTCCCAGAAGACACAAGAAACTTCTGAGAAGTCACGCCGCCTTCTGAGACCATCTTCTCCTTCTCGCTTCCCCCCTCGCTCGCCGCCGGAAGAGGCCCTCGATAAGGCCCAGCAGGCCCACAGAATATGGCCGATGAACGGCCCCCCAACACACGCCACTGTCAGCATCATCATCTGCATCAGCACCAGCATCATCAGCATCGGCAGCAGCATTATCAGCATCATCGTCATCACCATCAACACCAGCAAAATCACAGTCGTCATCAGCAGCAGCAGCATCATCATCCTGATCCTCATCCTCATCCTCATCCTCAGCCACGTCATCAGTGGCAACATCATCACCATCAGAAGCATCAGAAGCATCATCAGCAGCATCATCATCGTCAGCATCATCAGCATCATTATCATCAGCATCATCATAATCATCATAAGCATCATCATCCTCATAGTCATCAGCATCGTCTTCATCACCAGCTTCACCATACTCACCAACATAATTATCATCAGTAGCATCATCATCCTCATCATCATCAGCATCAGCAGCATCATCATCATCCTCATCAGCATCAGCATCAGCAGCATCATCAGCATCAGCAGCATCCTCAGCATCGGCATCACCCGAATCACCATCACCATCAGCATCATCAGCATCGGCATCGCCAGCATCGACATAATCATGAGTGTCAGAATCATGAACAGCATCAGCGTCAGCATCGGTATCGGCATCATCACCAACACCAACAGCACCAGTACCATCATCTTCATCACCATCATCGCCAGAATAGTCAGACTCATCATCAGCATCGTCAGCAGCATCACCACGATCATCCGCATCATCATCCTCATCCTCAACATCATCATCAGCATCAACACCGGCACCATCATCATCAGCATCAGCACCGTCACCATCATCAGCAGCAGCATCATCACCAGCAGCATCAGCAGCATCAGCATCATAAGCATCATCACAAACATCATCATAATCAGCATCATCATCACCATTATAGTAATCCTCAACAGCAGCATCATCATATCCGCATCATCATCACCAGCATCATCATCATCATCATGAAAAATAAACATCATCAGCAGCATCAGCATCAGCAGCAGCATCAGCATCGTCTTCATCACCAGTTTCACCATACTCATCATCAGTTTCATCAGCAGCATCGTCATCCTCCTCATCATCAGTCTCAGCAGCAGCATCATCAGCATCAGCAGCAGCATCAGCATCATCAGCATCAGCAGCATCCTCAGCCTCATCATCATCACCCGAAGCACCAGCATCGTCAGCGTCATCATCATCATTGCCAGCATCACCATAATCATCAGCATCATCTGCATCATGATCATGAACATCATCAGCATCAGCATCGGTATCGGCAGCAACACAAACAGCACCAGTACCATCATCCGCATCACCATCATCGCCAGAACAGTCAGACTCATCATCAGCATCATCAGCAGAAACACAACGATCATCCGCATCCTTCTCCTCATCCTCATCCTCATCATCAGCACCGTCACCAGCATCATCAGCATCAGCAGCAGCACCATCATCGCCAGCATCATCAGCATCATAAGCATCATCACAAACGTCATCATACTCAGCACCAGCATTACCATAATACTCATCATTAACGGCAGCAGCATTATATGCTCAACATCAGCATAATCATAGTCATCATGCAAATCAGCATCATCAGCAGCATCAGCATCAGCAGCAGCATCAGCATCATCATAATCATCATCAGCATCACCATAATCATCACCATGCTTAGCATCATCATCAGCATAATCCTCATTCTCACCATCATCATTGGCATCATCAACATCATCATCAGCCTCAGCATCAGCAGTAGCATCAGCATTATCCTTATCATCAGCACCATAATCACCATCATCACAATCAGCATCAGCAGCATCATCAGTATCATCACCATCATCAGCATCAGCACCAGCATCAGCCTCATCCTCATCATCAGCATCGACAGCATCAGACTCATCATCAGGATCATGAGCAGCACAATCACCATCAGCAGCACCAGCACCAGCAGCACCAACATCATCATCATCATCACCACCATCACCATCACCATCACCGTCATCACCATCATCATCATCATCATCATCAACATCATCATCATCATCACCACCATCGTCACCATCATCACCATCATCATCAACATCATCCTCATCCTCGTTCTCACCCTCATGAATCCTCATCCTCGTCCTCATCCTCCCCGATTCCCGAGCAGAGGGGACCAGGCCTCGGTGCAGTGGTGTCGGTACAGCCGGGCGGAGATGCGCCCGCCACTGGGGTCGAGCCCGTCCAGCACCTCCAAGCCAGCTGGGGGGGGGACGGAGGGCAGGGAGGGAGCGCGCTCGCGCGATACGCGCCCTTGCAAGGGCTCGGTGGGCCTTGGGGGATTTCACAGGGCCCTCAGAGTTCCTCGGGGGACCCACTTGATTGAGCCAACGGAGGCCCTGAGAGGACCGCGAGGGCCGTCGGGGGCCTTCGGTGGACTTCGCAGGCGCTCGGGGGCCTTCGCAAGCCGTCGGGGGCCCTCGGGGGCGCGGGGGCGATGCGCAGGGCGGGATCTGGCGGAGACCCCCGGGGATGAGGGGTGGAGTGGACGCCATGACGAGGTCATATCAAAGCAAGCCTCTCCACCCGAGCACCACGGATACCACAACGTTGAGGGAGGGCGCCACGACGAAGAACGCCAGAAAACTCCTCTGCGAAACTTGCCGCAAGCAGACCACATGCAGGGAAAGCCGAAGCCAGAAGAACAGCTTGTAAGAGCAGTGGAACACTTTACCCCCACCGCCGTCCCATGCGCAGCCGCCACAATGGTATACCCGAGGGCTTTGTCGCTGGACTCAGGCCCTCCTCAATCCACGATTCAGGCCTGCGCCAGGTCCTGGCAATTCTGGATGCGGTGGCGCAGGGCGCAAACCCGCTTACCATGGGCCCACGTGAAGCGATGCGAAGGACAGGAGCAAACTGTCCCGTCCGTTTTTCGCCTCTTGGCCCGCCTCAGGCCGGGTGGCGGTCCACGGGGCGACGGCAATCAAATCGACCATCGCCTGAACGGCCCTGCTGCGTATGAAAAGGGTGGGCCCTGCAGTTCCCTTTGTCAATGTCCGGGGCCCGACGGCCCTCCAGGGCCAGATCCCAGAAGCGACGAACCAGCATGCTCATCGCCGAGAGAAGGGTCCAGCCGTCAGGAGTCGGCCGCAATGTGACCGCAATGGCTCCTACTCGCCGCCGACGATGGTCGCTGCTAGACGGACCCCCAGAGCCGTCCCCAAAGACGAGATCGTGCCGCATGAGGCGACGTCAAGAGCCTGAATCGGCGGCGCCAACTTCCCTAATTTCCCCGAAACCTCCCACTCCACGTCCCCGACATCTTCAAAAGGCGGTACAGTCGGATCTAGGCCAGAAAAATATCCTCCAAGCATATGAGACCCTCTGCCGGCCAAAGCACACAGAATATCCAAGGGTGCCCTCCACCAGGATGCTCAAGAGCGTCCAACAAACACGACGAATCCTAGGGTGCCCTCCCCGAATCGATCTCGATCTCATGCCTCACCCGATGAGGGGGGCGCTAGTCTGGGGCGGCACCACACCCGGGGCTGAGAGGCCACGCAGAGCATCCTGCCTCAATCTGCCACCCTTGAGTGTTACCTCCAGACACAGCAGTTACAAGCTGGCCTCACCTGGCCGTGGGACTCTTTACGGAGCAAGCTGGCGAGGTGGGCACGAGCGGGGGCCAGATCGGCCCCTTCCTCCAAGCTGGCTCCAAAAACGTGTTTAGCTGCCTCCTGCCAGAGCCTCGCCCGCAAATCGCCCCAAAAATCTACGACGAGCTCAGGCGGAGCGACGGGAAACGACCCAATATCGAGACCATCGGCGACGGGAAAGTACCACTGAGTGGCTCCAGAGGATTTCCAGCCCGCGTCGAAAAGAGCCGCCTACAACGCCGCAAGAGGGCCTCGCGCGCGCCTCCACCGGTGCTTCGGCAACCCCCCCAATCGTTTCGGAATGAGCGCCTACAGTCTGACTTCATTGGACAGGGCACGCGGGAGGACAGAAGACCCTTCCGAGGGTCACATTGCCACAGGAACGGAGGAGGCACGGGCACGGGTCGACATGACACAGGTCGACCTGCTGATCCGGGCCGACGGTAGGCCTGAGAGACGCGAGCGTGGAGCTCGGGACGGCGGTCCCATTACTCACACCACGTTAGCACCTGGGAGCGAAGCGACAAGGCAGGGCCCTGGTCGCCAATGCTTGCCGTCGCAACTTCAAAAAGATGATCGGGACCATGCACCAAGCACAATTTCGACGTCGTCGACAGTCGACCACGGCGACAGCGACGACGACGTCGAATGTCCCGGCTCGACGTCGTTAACTGTCCTGGCTCGAAGTCGTCGACAAATCGACATCGACGACGTCGGCGGCGGCGACGTCGGATGTCCTCGCTCGACGTCGTCGACGATCGACCGTCGACAGCGGCGACGCCAACGGCGGCGACGCCGACCGCTCCCTGCGGCTAAATACGGCGACCACGACGAAGACGGCGGCGACGGCGATGACGGCGTCGACGACGACTTCGAAAACGCCGTCGACGATGTCACGCACGGAGCCCACGGCAACGGGAGGCGCGGCGCGCTCGCCTGGTCGGCGTAGCGCTGCGAGGAGGCCGTGAAGACCACGACCTCGAACAGCCGCGCCGCGGCCTGCGGGCAATGGCGACACAAAATGACGCCGCCGCCGCCGCCGACGACGACGACGACGGACGACGTCTAACGCACGACGGCGACGACATCGACGATGAGCGATTGACGACGAACAGCGGCCAACGAACGACGACATATTGCGCGTTCGTGTTGTGACGACATGCGCGTTGATCTCCGACACCGCGCGCGGATCCTTCAACCGGCTCTTGTGCGATCGCGGCTCTCCGATAGCGCGGACCGCTCGGCGCCGGCCGATCTTGGGCCACCGGCGTCCAAGAGGCGCCTCGTCGCCTCAGCTTGGTTCCCCTCCAAATTATCGCCAAACCGCGTCTCGGAGCCAACGGGATCGTTCCGACTATTACTTCGCGAGCATGTCCAGAGCCTGTCCTGAAATCTGTCCAGGACGTGCCTAGGGCCTGGCCTGGAACACTTTGCATCTTGCGAGGAGGACGACCACGCCGACGATCACGACGACGACGACGGCGGACGACGACGGCGGACGACGGGCGACGACGATAATGAAGACAGGAAGGATCACGACGGCGACGACGAGAAGAACAACCACGAAAAACAATGTAACCACGACGGCAATGAACGCAACGACGACGACGAGGACGACAACAAAAACAACGACAACGACGACGACGACGACCGACAGCGAGAACGACGACGACCACGACGACGGCGGTTGTTGCGACGACGACGACGACGACGGCGACGACGGCTGTCCTGGCTCGACGTCGTCGGCGATCGACAAGGACATCAGAAGGACCACGACGACGAGAAGGAAGACAACAGCGACGGCGAAGACGGCGGCGGCGGCGATTACCGACGATCAATCTGACGACGACGACGACGACGAAGACCGACGACCGACGACTGACGAAGACCAACGACCGACGACCGACGACCGACAACCTGGGGCGACGACGACGACGACGACGACGACGACGACGGCGGCGGCAGTTCGCCGCGGCAGCCTCCAGGAACAGACCCACGCAGGGTCGCGGGTACACGAAGCCGCGGGCGCCTCGGGGGCTCCTCCTCCACCCTTTCCAAGGGCGCGTAACCTCGCGCTTCGCGCTGCGCGAAGCGCGAAGACTGCGCGCTCTCGCGCCGCTCTCCACGGGATGAAACGGAGCCGAAGCGCGAAGCGCGAATCACTTCGCGCCCTCGAGGGCGCCCCGTGAGACGTTGGATTCGTATGGCTTCGGGCTGCGCACAGACAGCCCGTCCCGGCTGGCCTCATAAGGCACCCCGAGCAGCCTGGGGCGGTCTCAACGAACCCAACCCTGGTGCGCGAGGCGCCTCCATGGGCGCCGCCGGAGGCGGCGACGGGATGTTGAGACCGCCCCAGACTAGGGGCCTGTTGAGACCAACTGGAACTACTCGGGGGGCCTGTTGAGGCCAACCAGGACTACAGTCAACCCTTATCGTAGTGATGCACGGTAAGGATGCAAGGGCCTTGGACGGCCATGTCGACATCTGTCGACTGGGATGCGGCCAGCCAAAGCGGTCAAGGATGGGCCGAAGGTGAAGGATGCAAGGATAACACTGGAAATTCGCTCATAATGCGCGCAGCCTTCGACCTTACCGCTTAGAGGCAAATCGAATCAGGAAATCGGGTCGGACCGGAGTGTGCGTCTGCATCGGCACGGAATCCAAAACGAATCGGACCAGCCGCGCACGGACGCACGCACAAGGCCGCAGCAAATCGCAAACGTATCGCGATCGAATGGGGTCGGGCCGGCCAGAATCGATACCGGATCGGATCGACCGGGTCGACACGGACCACGAGACGCAGTCCTCGAAAGTTTCAGGATCAGGGTTTGGGCCTGTTTGCGTTACGCGCAGGCCCCTGGAGCAATCCTCCTCCTACTCCTATGACTCCTTCTCGAGACCTTGGCTTTCGGAAGGCCCCCTGGCCGCCGCGGCTGGACGCAGGTCCAAAAAGGGGACCAGGACGGATCCCTGAGGCGAGCATCGTATGGGGTCCCAAACAGAACTTGCACCTGAGGGTTCTTACTTCACTTCTGAAATAAGCTGACGGGCGTGTTTTCCTCCACCACCACCACCATAAGTTGGAGGAGGGGGGGGTCCTCCTCCTCGTTCTCCTCCTCGTCCTCCTCATCCTCCTCCTCCTCCTCCTCCCCCTCCAACTTCTGGTGGTGGTGGTGGAAAACAGGCTCATCATAAGTGGCTGGCATGTCTAGGGTTTCGCGAAGTGGGTACCTCGTGAGCGCCCCGTGCGCGGGCTGGCCTGTTCGGGCCTCCATGCAGTTGGGCCGCACTTGGGCGCCCAGAGGCCTCACAAAACGAGCCAGCATGGAAAACGGGTCCCAAAGAATATGTCGAACACGTTTTTTTTTCCGTCGGCAGCAAGGCAGAGTGGCTGCACCAGCGATAAAACTAAGCGGAGACACCCACAAGCGAATTGCCCAGCGTGCAGGAGACTGGGAAAGAACGGACAGAGCGGCCGCGGAGGAGGACGGAGGAGGAGGCTCTCAGAGGCGGAAGACATAGTGTGAAAATGTCCGAAAGAGCGCGTTCTACCGCTGCTGGCGGAAAACCGGGGGGGGTCACTACCGGTTCGAACCCCTCCCCCCCCCCCCCCTTCCGGAAAACCGGGGGGGTCACTACCGGTTCGAACCCCTCCCCCCCCCCCCCCCCCAGCTCATGAAAAGGCGGGGGGGTCACTACCGGTTCGAACCCCTCCCCCCCCCTCGAAAACCGGGGGGGGTCACTACCGGTTCGAACCCCCCCCCCCCTCGAAAACCGAGTGGGGGTGCGGACAGTGGTGGGGACGGTGTTGGTGGGGACAGTGGTGAGGGGATAGCGGGACAGTGGTGGGGACAGTGGGACAGTGGGACAGTGGTGGGGACGGTAGTGGTGGGGACAGTGGTGGGGACAATGGTGGGAACAGGGGGGACAGTGGACAGTGGTGGTGACGGTGGTGGTGGGGACAGTGGTGTGGGGACAATGGGAATGAGGTGGAAACAGTGGGACAGTGGAGGGTACAATGGTGGTGGGGACAGTGGTGAAGGCGGTGGCGAGGACGGCGGTGGGACAATGGGACAGAGGTACAGTGGGGACAGTGGTGGGGACAGTGGGGACAGTGGTGGGAACAGTGGGACAGCTCAGTGGGACAGCGGAGGAGTCAGTGGGACAGTGGGGACAGTGGGGATAGTCGGGCAGTGGTTGGGGCCGTGGAGACAGTGGGGAGAGTGGAACCGTGGTGGGAACAGTTCTGGGGACAGCGGGGACAGTGCGACAGTGGTGGGGGCACTGGTGGGGACAGTAGGGGCGGTGGTGGAACCAGTGGGGACAGTGGTGGTGAGGACAGTGGTGCTGGGAACACCAGTGGGGGATGTGATGCGGACGGTGGTGGGGACCGGGAGTCGTTTGCTGGCGGTGAGTAGGGGGGGGGTTCGAACCGGTAGTGACCCCCCCCGGTTTTCCGGATCCGGAGGGTAGGGGGGGGGGGGACCCCTCGGTTTTCCGGATCCGGGGGGGGGGAGGGGGGGGGGGAGGGGCTCGAACCGGTAGTGACCCCCCCCGGTTTTCGAGCGGGGGGGGGGGAGGGGTTAGGGGAGGGGGGGGTTTTGCCAGGGGGGAGGGGGGGGGGGTTCCAGCAGGGGGGGGGATTTTCGGAGGGGGGGGGGGGGGGGGGGGCGACCCCCGGGTTCCGGAGGAAAAGGTTGGCAATTTTCCACAGTAAAGCGGCGGTGGATCACGCTCTCTCAAATGTCCAGAGGCCGTTTTGCAAAAATCAAGACATCGAGGTCTGGGGATCGAGGACCAGGGATCGAGAACCTCCAGGAGGCTTTTCGTCACCACGGTCCGGTTATGCGAAAGATCTAGTCACACCGCTCCCCTCGAGAGATTCCTCCTCTTCCAGCTCCCTCTCCCTCTTCCTCCTCCTCCTCCTCCTCCTCCTCCTCCTTATCCTGCCTCTTCCTCCAGCTCCTGCCTCCTCCTCCAACTCCTCCTCCCTCTTCCTCCTCCCTCATTCATCTCCCCCCCTTCTCCATCCCCCTCCGCGTCGCTCACGAGGCATCCAACCATCCGATCGCTCAATGCCCCCCCACGACCAGGCCAAGAATGCGAATCTGGAACGTGCCCTGCCGTCCCACGCTCCCTCCTCCCGCAACTTTCGTGCTACACAATTTCCAAATTGTGCTGCTTTGCCGCCTAGTTGTCGTGCCATCTGTCCTGCCATGTCCACGTGCCTAATCAGTCAAGCACTCCACAACACCCTCACGCCGCAAATGAAGAGAAAAACAGAAACGGAGGGGATAAAAACACTACACAGTACGGCAACATCGAAAAACAAAAACACAAAAACACGCAGCACAGCTACAAAAAAGAATGATCCCTGTTCGAGCCATAACTCAGGCCTCTGGTTGCCGTTCAGGACGATTCAGGCACCCCCGGAACGCTCTCGGCGAGGCGCAGCTGCTGGAGGATATCCCGAGGCTAGGACACCGAAGAAAACCGACGAAGACGCCCGAAAACCTCTGCAGCAACACTGTCGTCTGGACCCCTTCCCTGGGACCAGCTTTCTATCTTGAGTCGTATTTGACGGTGCCAGGGCCCTGTGAGACCACCCGACGCAGGAAATTGCCATAAACCCTCAGTCGCGTTTGTTTCACGGCGCGGAGATGCCAGAAGTCCATTTTTTCATTCGGGCAAACGATAGTGACCGGCTCCGCCCGCCTTCCCCCCACGCCGGCACGTCATGATTAGCGCAGGCGCCTTTAACCGTTCCTAATCGAGGCTCTACTGACCCGGGTCAATGCAGACCCCGGTCAGTCAGGCCATGCAGGATGCTGCAGGAGCCTGCAATATCCTGCAGGATCCTGCACCCAACTCCAGATCAGGATGCCCCTCGCTCTGCAGGATCCTTCACGATCCCGCGCTCTGACTGACCCCCGTTTGCATTGACCCCGTCTCTTGAGCCCCGACCTGAGTATTAACAGACGGCAAGAGCGCGAGTCGTGACGTGACGTGCCCCCTCACCCCTCCCTTCACCCCTCGGTCACGCCGACTATCGCCAGGAAGAAGAAGAACAACAACAACAATACCAACAATAACAACAACAACAACAGGAACATCATCAACAACAATAACAGCAACAACGACAACAACAACACTATCAACCACAACAACTACACTACCAACAAAAACAGCAATAACAACAACAATAACAACACCAGGAACAGCAACAACAACACAGACAACAACAACAACAACAACAACAACAACAACACCATCATCAACAACAACAGCAACATCAATAACAACACCATCTACAACAACAAGAACAATAACAAAAACAACAACACCAACAACAACAACAACAACAACAACAACAACACCAACACCAACAACAACAACAACAACAACAGCAACAGCAACAGCAACAACAACAACAACAACAACAACAACATCAACAACAACAACAACAGCATCAACAACAACAACAGCAACAACAACAACAACAACAACAGCAGCAGCAGCAGCAGCAACAGCAACAGCAACAACAACAGCAGCAACTACAGCAACAACAACAAAACGTGCAGATCATGCATATATATATATATATATATATATATGTATACACGTACACAATCACACACAAAACAATCCCCCGGGAAGCGGCAGCGACAAAAGCACCGCGGCAAGGGGCGCTGGCGAGCCTGTCTCCTCGAACTCCACGGCGAAGGCGTGCCGCAGGCCCCGGGCGGGCTCCAGGCGGCAATGCGCCAGCGTCTCGTCCAGGTCGAGAACCACCGTGAGCCGCTCGTGTCCGGGGCCTCGCAACCGCCGCGGCCGCCGCCGCCGCCGAGGTTGTCTTCGCCGCCACCGCCGCCATCCCCTGACATCCTTTCGTGGAGGGGAAAAACCACGACGGACAATTGTTGCTAATTTTCAGCCTCCAAGGGCCCTTGCCCGGCCCCGGACTTTCAAAAACGGCTCGGGATGAAAAGCCGGTCCCAGGGAAGGGGCCCAGACCTCTGGGGAGCAACGTTGCGAAGTCACGACGGAGGACGTCTGGGCCGCAGTGGTCGTTGTCGCCACCGCCGCCGTCATCGTAGGTTAGGGTGCAACTCCTAGGAGGCCCTCTTTGGAGCGTATAAAGGCTACTGAGCCTGATTGATGGGCCAACGAGCCGGATTAGCCCACGTAGGTCCAGGACCAAGCTGGACTAAGCCAGACTAGCTGGGACTAAAGAACTATGCCAGATTTGGTTGGTCTTCGGCTTCGGACATGCTGGCGCCGACGCTAAACTGGTTGCAGCTCAGCGCAGGCGTCCTCGCGGTCGCCGACGTCATCGTCGTCGTCGTCGTCGTCGTGATGGTGGTGATGGTGGTGGTGGTAGAGGTGGTGGTGGTGGTGGTGGTGGTGTTGATCGGCGTCGTCGTCTGCGGAGGCCCGCGGCGGAGTCCCGATGCCGTCTGGAGGCTTCTGGGGACCTTTGAGGTCTGCACAGGCTGGATCGTGCGAACAGGAAGGGGCAGGGGCCTCGCCTTCGTCCCTCTTCGTTTTCCTCCTCCTCCTACTCATCCTGCTCCTCCTCCGCCTACCTCCAAGTACTCCCCGTGCAATTCCTGCTGGTCTGTCTCCTCCAATCCTCCTCCTCCTCCTCTTCCTCCTCCTCTTCCTCCACCTCCTCTTCCTCCTTCCCTTCCTCCTCCTCCTCCTCCTCCTCCTTCTCCTTCTCTTCCTCCATTCCTGATCCTGATAAATAACTTCTCTCTGTCGCACCCCGAGGCCAGTTTTCAGAGCGGGCCGGGCAACTCACCTGAGGTTTCCTCACCATGTCTGACCCCGAAACTTAAAACGTGGCAACAGTTTCACCGATGGAGGGCCGGTCGTTTTCAACATGTTGCTCTCGCCTTAGCGCCGCCACATTCGTTTTGAGTGTTTACCAAAAACTTGGTGGATTGAGGACTGTTCCTCTTCAAAGTGCGGCTCTCGCCTTAACTCCGCGCACCTTCGTGTTAAAAGATGCAAGACTTATTTTCGAAATGTGGCTCTCGCCTTAGCGACGCGTACACTCGCTTTACACACGTTCAAGACATTCCTAGATTGACGGCGGTTCCTTTTAAACTTATCCCGACAAAGCAACCTATCAGCGATGTGTATAAGCATATCTGGAAGCATTCCCCTGAAGGTTCAGGTGAGAATCCAGTTGTAGAATTCTGCTGTTCTCGCAGTCGCAGTCGCATTCGCAATGACACTCGAAGTGGCAACGGCCCCAGGACCCAATGGAATCCTAAGGATTCCTAGGGATTCCTAAGGCATCCTTAGGCATCCTTAGGAATCCGTAGGAATCCGGATGCCTACGGATTCCTAAATATTCCTAGGGATTCCTACGGATTCCTATGGATTCCTACGGATGCCTCAGCCTGCCTCAGTTTCAGCCTCAGCCTCAGCCTGCCTCGGCTTGCCTCAGCCTCAGCCTCAGCCTGCCTCGGCCTCAGCCTCAGCCTGCCTCAGCCTCAGCCTCAGCCTGCCTCGGCCTCAGCCTGCGTCAGCCTCAGCCTCAGCCTGCCTCAGCCTCAGCCTGCCTCAGCCTCAGCCTCAGCCTCAGCCTCAGCCTGCCTCGGCTTGCCTCAGCCTCAGCCTCAGCCTGCCTCGGCCTCAGCCTGCCTCGGCCTCAGCCTGCCTCAGCCTCCCCTCCTCCCCCCCCCCTTCCCCCCCCCCCCATTCAGCCTCACCTTGTCTCAGCTTCGGCCTGCCTCGGCCTCATCCTCAGCCTCAGCCTCAGTCTCAGCCTCAGCCTCAGTGTCTCGGCCTCAGCCTGCCTCGGCCTCAGCCTCAGCCTGCCTCAGCCTCAGCCTGCCTCAGCCTCAGCCTCAGCCTGTCTCAGCCTCAGCTTGCCTCAGCATCAGCCTCAGCCTTAGCCTGCCTCGGCTTGCCTCGGCCTCAGCCTCAGCCTGCCTCGGCCTCAGCCTCAGCCTCAGCCTGCCTCAGCCTCAGCCTCAGCCTGCCTCAGCCTCAGCCTGCATCAGCCTCAGCCTCAGCCTGCCGCAGCCGCAGCTTGCCTCAGCCTCAGCCACAGCCTCAGCCTCAGCCTCAGCCTGCCTCAGCTTCAGCCTCAGCCTCAGCCTGCCTCGGCTTGCCTCAGCCTCAGTCTCAGCCTACCTCGGCCTCAGCCTGCCTCAGCCTGCCTCAGCCTCAGCGTCAGCCTCTCAGCCTCAGCCTGCCTCAGCCTCAGCCTCAGCCTGCCTCAGCCTCAGCGTCAGCCTCTCAGCCTCAGCCTGCCTCGGCCTCAGCCTGCCTGATGCTCAGCCTCAGCCTGCTTCGGCCTCAGCCTGCGTCAGCCTCAGCCTCAGCCTGCCTCAGCCTCAGCCTGCCTCATCCTCAGCCTCAGCCTGCCTCGGCGTGCCTCAGCCTCAGCCTCAGCCTGCCTCGGCCTCAGCCTGCCTCGGCCTCAGTTTGCATCAGCTCGGGCATTCAAAATATGGCACAAGACGAAGAACACGAAGTGGCCTACAATTGGCTCCGGCCAATCAAAATATGGTACAGGAATGGTGTTCTGGGAACACGAAGAACACGAAGTGGCCTACAATTGGCTCCGGGCATTCAAAATGTAGCCTGGGAATGGTGTTCTGGGAGCACGAAGAACACGAAAACAGCCTACAATTGGCTCCGGGCATTCAAAATGTGGCCTGGGAATGGTGTTCTGGGAACACGAAGAACACGAAGTGGCCTACAGCTGGCTCCGGGCATTCAAAATGTGGCCTGGGAATGGTGTTCTGGGAACACGAAGAACACTAGCTGGCCTACAGATGGCTCCGGGCATTCAAAATGTGGCGTGGGAATGGTGTTCTGGGAATGGATTCCTAAGGATTCCGAAGAATTCCGAAGGATTCCTACGGATTCCTGGGGCTGACCCCGTTCGTCCGGTGTTGTCCGGATCCCGCCCAGACCCCCATGGGGAGTCAAGATGCTCTCTTTTGACCCCACTAGAAACCTATCAGTCTTCGCTGTTAGGTAAAATGTGGCTCTCGCCTTAGCGCCGCGCACATTCATACTTTTTTACCTAACAGCGAAGACTGATAGGTTTCTAATGGTGTAAAAAGAGAGCAGCACATTACTCCACAGGGGGGTCTGGGCAGCCGTTGGGGGGCCGTTGGGGATTTCCGGGGGGGATCGTTTTTTGCATACAGTCACACACTTCGTGCTTTTCGATTTCCCAGAACTCCATTCCCGGGCCACATTCTGAATGCCCGGAGCCAACTGTAGGCCACTTCGTGCTCTTCGACTTCCCAGAACTCCATTCCCGGGCCACATTTTGAATGCCCGGAGCCAACTGTAGGCCACTTCGTGTCTTCGAGTTCCCAGAACTCCATTCCTGGGCATGATTTTGAATGCCCGGAGCCAACTGTAGGCCACTTCGTGGTGTTCGAGTTCCCAGAACTCCATTCCTGGGCATGATTTTGAATGCCCGGAGCCAACTGTAGGCCATTTCGTGTTCTTCGAGTTCCCAGAACTCCATTCCCGGGCCACACTTTGAATGCTGAGGCAGGCTGATGCTGAGGCTGAGGCAGGCTGAGGCTGAAGGCAGACTGAAGCTGAGGACGAGGCTGAAGGCAGACTGAGGCTGAGGCTGAAGCAGGCTGAGGCTGAGGCTGAGGCAGGCTGAGGCTGAGGCTGAGGCAGGCTGATGCTGAGGCAGGCTGAGGCTGAGGCTGAGGCTGATGCAGGCTGAGGCTGAGGCAGGCTGAGGCTGAGGCCAGGCTGAAGGCAGACTGAGGCTGAGGCTGAAGCAGGCTGAGGCTGAGGCTGAGGCAGGCTGAGGCTGAGGCTGAGGCAGGCTGATGCTGAGGCAGGCTGAGGCTGAGGCTGAGGCTGAGGCAGGCTGAGGCTGAGGCAGGCTGAGGCTGAGGCCGAGGCTGAAGGCAGACTGAGGCTGAGGCTGAAGCAGGCTGAGGCTGAGGCTGAGGCAGGCTGAGGCTGAGGCTGAGGCAGGCTGATGCTGAGGCAGGCTGAGGCTGAGGCTGAGGCTGATGCAGGCTGAGGCTGAGGCAGGCTGAGGCTGAGGCCGAGGCTGAAGGCAGACTGAGGCTGAGGCTGAAGCAGGCTGAGGCTGAGGCTGAGGCAGGCTGAGGCTGAGGCTGAGGCAGGCTGATGCTGAGGCAGGCTGAGGCTGAGGCTGAGGCTGATGCAGGCCTGAGGCTGAGGCAGCCTGAGGCTGAGGCCGAGGCTGAAGCAGGCTGAGGCTGAGGCTGAGGCTGAGGCTGAGGCTGAGGCTGAGGCAGGCTGAGGCTGAGGCTGAGGCAGGCTGATGCTGAGGCAGGCTGAGGCTGAGGCTGAGGCTGATGCAGGCTGAGGCTGAGGCAGGCTGAGGCTGAGGCCGAGGCTGAAGGCAGACTGAGGCTTAGGCTGAAGCAGGCTGAGGCAGGCTGAGGCTGAGGCTGAGGCAGGCTGAGGCTGAGGCTGAGGCAGGCTGATGCTAAGGCTGAGGCTGAGGCTGAGGCTGATGCAGGCTGAGGCTGAGGCAGGCTGAGGCTGAGGCCGAGCCTGAAGGCAGACTGAGGCTGAGGCTGAAGCAGGCCGAGGCTGAGGCTGAGGCTGAGGCAGGCTGAGGCTGAGGCTGAGGCAGGCTGATGCTGAGGCAGGCTGAGGCTGAGGCTCAGGCTGATGCAGGCTGATGCAGGCTGAGGCTTAGGCAGGCTGAGGCTGAGGCCGAGGCTGAAGGCAGACTGAGGCTGAGGCTGAAGCAGGCTGAGGCTGAGGCAGAGGCAGGCTGAGGCAGAGGCAGGCTGAGGCTGAGGCAGGCTGATGCTGAGGCAGGCTGAGGCTG